TAAGGATATTGGTCTTCATTTTTAAGCAAAATATAAAATTTGTAAATAATAAAACTTGTTTTGCTAAAAAAAAGAATAATTTATAGCTTTATAATCTTAAATACTAACAAACATGAAACAACAAAATTTGTTTAACAACCTTTTCTTCTGCCTAAGTATTTCGTTTTATTGCTATAGTTTAAATACCGGTGAATAATTCACCGCGATTCACCTACAACAGAAACTAATTTCAGTTTAACACTAACTCATGTTAAATTGGAGAAATTGGACATCAACGAGTCCCGTGGTTGGGTAGATTCTACAACCTCCTAGAAAATAATGTGATCCACATTTTTAGATTTGAATCCATCCATTTTCCTTATTCAAGCCCTCATTATTCTACATCTGGAATTAGGCTTCTTTCAAAGAAAATTCCTGTCTAACAAAGAGCACAAAAAATTTAATCAGCTAACTGTCCTGCTGGCAGCAGGTTTTCATAAATGTTAGAAATGATGAGAACGCTGAGACCTAATTAAACATCTTCCTAATAGTCTCACAATTAGGAACATTTGTTTTAGGGAACAAGCTGTGCTGTAAAATAAAAAGCAGTTGGGAAAAAAAGAATCTAAAAAGGCCAGATTTTATGAAAAATAATAACAAAAATAAGATTATGTCTGTAGAACCATCCAAATAAAGAAAATAAAAAGTTGCATTTAGTTTTTTTATACTTTGAATCAAACACATAGAGGCAAAAACACAAATTTAAAAGACAATTAGCCACAAACACAGTAATAAATACATTTATTTATACTCAAATTAACCTGTATTACTTGGATTATGTTTAGGTCTTCTTTTCTCCATATTCTCACTGTTACCTCGAGAACGTTGACCTGCCACTGATGAAATGGACCTGCTGCTTGATTTCTGTTGGGAGTTTTTTTGTTCCACTTGGCTGCGGTCCGAGCTCTGCCTCTTCCTCAACACCAGGAGATGCATAATTAAGACCCTGGTGGTCAGCCAGGAACACACACTCAGTCAGCTGCAGCTGGTCGAAATAACTTGTAGCTGATCATTTATTCACTAGCAGCAACTCACAAAGCCAAATCACACCGATGCAGACCAAAGTGAGTCAGGACAGACTGGAAGCTGCAGTTTGTTAATGTGAAGTTTAGTGAATTAGATCCTTTTTATCAGTGTTCCAAACATTTAAAACTTTATTCTTTTGCAACGAAAATTTTATAGGAAAAATTGTTAGGTTTTTTATTTTTATTTTATTTTTTTGTTATTTATTGTTCTTTCAAGCTAAATAGGGTGGGCCATTGATCCATACCAAATAAATACAAACTAATATTGCAAATTCTAATATCGATACTTGTGATTGAATATTTAGTTTGTTTATTATGATGAAACACAGAATAAATATTTTAGGCAAATAAAAATGTTTTTTATTAACTAACAACAAAATAAAACAATGGAACAGTAACAAAATTATTAATTAATTATTCTCTTTCACAATGACAAAAATAATGTAAGAAACAATGCAAGAAAAATATAAACAATGCTAATAACAAAATAAATAAATAAAATACTGCATGTCAGCTTGATGTAGACTAATGACTAACACCAAACAATGTGGAGACTACAAACAAACTTTAATTTTTCCATGTTTTATGAAAAGTAAAGTCAGCGTAAAGTGTAAAAAAAAATCTATTTCATCGCACTAGTATCAATCTGATACCGATACTCATCTATCTATAGTTGGACCAATTTGATACTGCATTTTTACACAGAACAGAGTGTTGTCAAAAGCTGTATGTGTTGCCTGCAGTGAGGTTTTTTATATGATAAGCAAGTAATAAGTTGAATACAATGGAAGAAACGTAGGGAAAAATCATTTTTATTGTCATTACACACCTGGGAAAGCCTGATGCAGCCAACCTGTCAATAAATAAATAAATAAATAAATAAATAAATAAATAAATAAATAAGTATTGCATCATACTAAACAACAACTTTGAAAGGGAATTGAATTCAAATTAAGCCCTTCCATAATGGAATTCTGAGTTCCACAGGTTAATTTTTTTATGTTTTAGTTGCATGAAGTAACTCTGAAAACTTGCTTTGAAGCGTTTTTATTATTGATATCACATGACTAAACTTTGAGGTTTGACAGATTCGTTTATTGTTTCAAATTAGCCAGTTGTTACTTTGGATTTTGTGCTCAATTCTTCAGATTATTCTTTAATTTGAGTCTTTCTGTGGTGTTTAGGTCAAGAGAAAGTTGGTCTCATTGTCAGATTCAAAGTATTGCTGTTTTTTAGTCTTTGAGTCCTAAAATAAAATTTTGTTTTTGTCTCAGATTTCATACCAAGCTGAAGAGTTTAGCTTTGATCTTCCTCTCAGCTCCCAGAATACTTCTCAGGATTATTAATCTCCCCCTTCGTCGGTTGTGCTCCCGCACTCGTCTCCGTGCCTCCCCACACATGCTCAGGGCCCACAGGGTGGATTGGAGTGCGAGGGCCGCTCTGTTTACGTTCGAGTGGCGGTGTGCGATGAGCACTGGATGATGGTGTACAAAGCCGGCTAATCCCGAGGCTCGGGGAAACTCTCTGATGTTTGCAGAGCTTGAAAGCAAAGGGCAGCCTCTTGAGACCCGAAGTGATCCCTCACTATCATTAAACATATCATCCAGAGGTTGCAGGGGGAGGAGGGGCTGGAGATGCAAGGGACCAGGCAGGCCAGAGACTGGGCCAAGAGAACGAGGTGTGTTCTGGGGTCCCAGTGGGTGGTCTGTAAAAACACAGACACAGCCCCCCATTTTGTCCACAGGAACGCTCAGTCAGTGGAGCGTATGTAATATGTCTCCAAGGCAGAGATTCTGAACCTCCTGCGCTGACTGACACGTTTGATGGACTTGTGGTCTGTCCCAGTTTTGGTTGGATCTCTGCGGGCCCAACCAATGAGCCAGTAATGAATGCACACATGGAAAATGGTTTCGTTTAACCTACTTTTTTCATTGCTCCGGCTGCAGAAAGTTTTGCAATCAGAGTGTCGTTTAGAACCCAAAGACAAGCAGAGCTGCTGGTTGGGGGAAGAATCCAAAATGTTCGACTCAGTGAGACAATCCTGTGTTTCTGAGTGGACTGATGCTTCTGAGGGGTCAGAAATGTCCTTTAAATTGTACATTTTTATCAATTGGATTCTGAGAAGCTATGCTCATTAGGAAGTTTCCCACTTTATATAAGATGGTTGTTATCAAAGGCCTCAGTGATGCAGCAGGTACTTGAGGTCAGGGCAATTCCAGGTCTGCGGTGCTGGCAGTGAAAGGCAGGTACAAAAACAATCCTTGAGACAAGAGATGAGGTGAAATGTCTATCGGGACTGGAAGGTGGGGTTGGAGGGAGCAGAAGGAGGTGGAGTTAGAAACTTCTCTATTTTCATCCTGAATTTGACAAAAGCAATATCACAAAACAAACAAATAAATAAACCATGATAAGTAAAACTCCCTGAACTCACTGAAGAATCATAAAAAGCACAGATCAGAGCGTGAAGACGTTCAAAGCTCAAGTTCAGCTAAATGTGAGCTGCAGGAGCTGTATGTGTCTGCACAGCAAACTGTGCTTTACTGATGAGGATTTAAAGTGGAAACATGAACTTTAATCAACGTTTTTTGTTTAGATTTCAGGATTAAATAAAGCCAATCAGATCATTAGACTAAATGCTATTAATGATAATTACAAACTTGTTTTAGTTGTTCTTCATTAAGAATTGTAAAACCAATTAACTTTGCTTAAAAAGCATTAATGTCACAAAAATAAATTTAACTCTTGAGCCCCACGCCCCCGCCGGCGGGGGCAAAATCTTTTATTATTATTATTATTATTATTATTATTATTATTATTATTATTATTATTATTATTATTATTATTATTATTATTATTATTAACCAACGTTCTCATTAGTAGACATAGACATGTGTGGTATCTATAGAAATGTCAGAATCTTGGCTAAAAACTCAAAGAAACCATTTCTACGTCCACCAGACACAGATAAAACAACACACAGTCGAATCTGTATGTAAACAAACTGCACAAAAGGGCACCTCTGCAAAATCCGGTCTCAGCTGTTCACCCCGTGACTTCTTCACACACAAACATGTCAGCTGAAAGCAGAGACCTGACAAATTCTAAAAATATAAGTTTCATCACAATCCAACCAGAATTCACTCAACTAGCAGCAAAAAAAAGAAGACCTAGCACTCGGATTTGAAAATTATAAAACATAAGTTTTCTTACCTTCGTATTTTTTTCCTCCAAATCCTAAACCCACTGGCATAAACTTATATTCAACTACATTTCCCGGTATGAGTTTCAAGCACTTCCTTCTCCAAAATAGCCCCGTCTGACCCAATTACAAGACGTTCATTGGAGGAAGGTGAAAGTCTTTCAAATTGCGTCACAGACTTCCTCTCCTTATAGCGGGWGACTGGTCAGGTTTACATGAACGTGCTGTAGACAGCTTGATTCTACTGGTTCCAAGGATGAAAAGGAGGGGTCATTTGTGCAAATCGGCCAATCCAAACTGAAGTTACAGTCCCGCGTAAGGCTACCTGCTCCTCAGAGCTAAAAACACGTTTTACGCGTAAAGCGCAGCGTCACACACCGCACTTCCGGTTGTGTCTACGCACCGTTTAAAAAATAAAATAAATATAAAATGTGCCGTTTTTGCCAGTTAGCTTACTTATTTATCAAGTTTTGTAAGTTTTGTAACTAAAAACTTTAAAAAAAACTCTACTTTTGTAGGTGGTGCCAAAATGTGCCAATTTGTGCCAATCTGTGCCACAAGAAAAAACGCCTAAATATATTTTTTACTAAAACCTCTGTAACTTTGTTGTATTTTACTTCAGCAGCATGAGGTTTTGCACAAGTAATGTCCATAAATGGATTCATGGTTTCCAAGAGTTTTTAGCCTTATTCATTATACTTTTATATACTGTATAACGCAGAAAAACCTCAGGTGAGGGGGGAAAAAAGCTATTTTTTCTATGTTCCATCCTCATTATCTCTGAAACAAAAGCTTATGATGTGATACTTACACTCCTGTTGAAATCTCCCAAGTGTTAGCTTTATTTTGGTATCAAGTGTATTTATATGGTGTTTTTAGGTGCTGAGATACACCCAGTTACATTTGGGCATGCTTTTTCGAGCACAAACTTCAAAGAAAACCCCTTCTTGATGTCGAGTCATGAAGTGATTGAACAGATTTATAAGAACAAGTTTCTGTTTTGCTTTATTTATTTTTTGTTCCATTTCTGTCACAGATTGAAAAATATTTTAGCACTTTGGAAAAACCCAAGTATTAATTAACAATTACGTCATAAAAAACAAACTAAGTTAGACATTAGTTTTTTATTTGCTGCAAAGTAGATTTTTCTTTCTGCAAAAAATAAATCTAATCGTTTCCCTAAAGTTTATTTATTTCATTTTTTATTTTGTTTATTTTTTTACCTATTTATTTTTATTTTTGTAATGTTTAAGCCTTTAAATCGTTTTTAAAAAGCTGCTTTCTGTTGTTTTTTTCCCCCAGATTATTCTGAACTCGATGCACAAATATCAGCCGAGGATTCACATCGTGAAGGCGGATGAAAACAACGGATTTGGTTCCAAAAACACGGCCTTCTGCACTCATGTCTTCCCCGAGACAGCCTTCATTGCGGTCACTTCCTATCAGAACCACAAGGTAGAAATTTCTTTTCTTTTCTTTTCTTTTCTTTCTTTCTTTCTTTCTTTCTTTCTTTCTTTCTTTCTTTCTTTCTTTCTTTCTTTCTTTCTTTCTTTTCTATTTTGGTATCTAAATCTTCACTGTAT